TGGCAGCAGGTCTGTGTCTTGCTGTGCGGTGGCTCAGGGGTGCGGCTCACACGAGGGGTGGAGGGAGTGATGAGAGGAGGAAGTGGGGGAGGGTGACAGCCGAACGCTCGCCCTTGGGCTCCCCAGACGCCTCACCACTGAGGAGGAGGGTTCAATACTGCGTGTGTGTGTGTGTGTGTGTGTACATGTGGGTGGGAGGATGTGTGTAAGAGAGACCGAGAAAGTGGGTGCACACACATACACATATGTGTGTCTCTAAACACTCAGATTCTGCTGATCCAGCAGCCTCCACTCAGCTCCCCTTCCTCGCCTCTCTCTTCCTCCTCCTCCCCCACTTCTCTCTCCTCCGCTCCCCTGCTCTTTATGGCAGAGCACGCAGGTCACCTTCTCAGTTGCTGAATTTAATACTCAGCTGGAGAGAGGCAGGAATAAGGGAGTAGAGGACTGGCAGAAAAGTGAGCAGTGGAATTTTTTCCCTCCTTTTAGAAAGGATTTTTGAGATCATTTCAGAGACGGATTGTAAAGAGCTGCACGCAGCAGAACCTGCGAGCATCTACAAATACACACGAAGGGGCACATGCACACACACGTGGTGGCACACCGAGGCTCTAGTGGTTGATTAGCAGTCGGGTCACCTTTCTCCAGCTGTGAGTGTGGTTCTTTTAGATGAAAGTGATAAAATAGGGAACACACTGTAGCTGCGGGCACACGGCAGATAGCAGCGGCCACCGCACAGGAAACACATCACTGGCTGCTCAACACAACACACTTTCTGGGCAACCCACCTATGTCATTGTCCAGTATTGTATGAAATCCTGAGAAAAAAGTGATTTACTACTAGCTAATTTTGTTAGTTGAGATGATAAGCTGCAGGTTTTTAGCATATAAAATCTTTGCATCCCACAAGATAAGAGAGAAGTGCAGCGTTCTCTAGCAGCAGCAGCAGCAGCACACGAGGCTTCTCTTATAGTAACAAATAATGATCTGACTAGTCAGGACAGTAACGGCGGTGAAAAGTTCATATTCTTGGAACTCGGTAATAAAAGTGCCTCTTTCTGCCTGCCGCTGCATATGTAAGGAGCTCATTTATGCCATAATGCTGTGATAGTACTCCCGCTGGACCTGCCTGAAGTACAGGCCAGGAGGCATAGCTGTGTACATATCAATGCACAGTTTCCTTGAAACCTTGAAAAGCTTTAGTTCTTTTAAATGTTTTTCAGATATGTTTTTTGAAAAAGGCTGATAAAAGTTTTAGTTTTCAGTGGTTTTGACAGCTTTTATTTTTTACTTCGGCATCTTTATTTCCTTTATTTCTTTTTTCTGATGTGTTAGTGATGTTTATGATTATGTTACCGTTTTGAAGCGTCTACTCGTACATGTTTCTATCCATTTTGCTCTGCATTTGGCTCTCACTACTCATTAAAGTAAAGTGAGGTGTGTGTGTGTGTGTGTGTGTGTGTGTGTGTGTGTGTGTACTTTGTCTTCACCTGGATGGCAGAATGCCTCCTGTTCAATCTCAGCTCTGTCAAACTCACTTACCTTCCACCACTAACAACAGATGTCTAGCCAGCACATCCTGCACCTTAGGTTGTTGTTTGTGCCCTTAGGTTTTACACACACACGCACACACACACACACACACGCACACACACACACGCACAGAACGTCAGTCAACATCAGTAGCTAGCACCTTTATTACTGCAGGCAATAAGTCAGTGTAGGGGTGTGAACTGAGGAAGATTTTGATGGAGTCTAAGACGAGGACAAAACAATCCTCACAAGAAAACAGAGGTGCAAAGAGCTGATGTTCAGCCTTATTTGTTTCAGACTACTGTATAAATGACAGGAACTGAATCATTTAAGTATACAGTTACTGTGAAAGTAAAGCGCACGCTCATCTGTACATATCAAGACACAATAAAAATAATCTGGTCCTATAGCAGGTCTTAAAATGATTAAAATAGAAACTCAGGTAATAACTGCATCATATATACATGCATAAATACACCATTACCTGGCACCTATATAGGAATTAAAAGGGTAAGTCAGTCAATACTGGTGCCACTATAGTTTCTTTGATTAGTAGCTAGCATAGAGCTGTCCTTTATTATTGACACAAACATTATATTCCTCTTGAGTTTTTTTCTTCTGGCAGCTTGTTCACCCACATGGGTGGATTTATGCGTTACCACTTTCTCTTTAACCTGTAGCTCTGAATGCGATGCAGTCCAAATGTCTGATTTTGTCTGAGTTCTGTTGTGGCATTCTGCCCTCAACTCCATTAGCGTTGAGAACGAGTGTTATGTGATGCTTCTGTTTCTTGTGCTTGTCTACTACGCTTAGTCAGCTCGCAATATGTATGTTACCGCACTGCAGCTGGTTGTAGATCTTGGATGGTTCTTTGGAGAACGGGACATTTATTCTTTTGGCTTCTGCGTCTTATTAGTTTGTCTGCCAGCAATGCGAGCCTTTGTTTAGTCATCTCCAGGGTCTCCATTAAGCACAGTCCATTGTATTTCCTCAATATTCTCTGCCTTATCCTTGATTTTTACATCAGTCTGTGTGGTAGACAGCCAGAAAAAACTGTGTGAGTCTTGGTTTTGTTAACTTTTAAGTTTGTCTGTAGAGTTGCATTCAGGACACATCCATGGTATAGTAACAGGGGATGACAGATAGATTTTTTTCTAAAGTCTGGGCACAGTGTCTTTCTCAGTTACGATGGTCTCTGTGTCAGATTAGGTGACTATAGAGTCAAAATCGCTTTCATTCTTACCATCTATTAAAAAGTGCATGATGTCATCTGAAGGAGGTGGCAGCACGTGAAAATAGATGATACCAACCAAAATGGTGTGCATGATACTGGCTATATTCTCCCATTCACCGGTTCCACCTCCCTATGTCTCTTTTTTAGTTTTCAAGTTTACAATTGTAAACAATTGCCAGAGCATTTATGGCCATATTGGTCAACCGCACAAATGAATCCATAGAGGGCAAAAAAAGAAAAGCCATAATTGTACTGTTGTAGGCTCATTCTTTCAATTACTAGTGGTTACTGTTACTGGTTACTTCTAAATCAATATCTCAAATCTAATCAAACACGGATCAATTTAGTCCCTACATATTTTTGATTTGTGTGTGCTATCTATATCGTTAAGCCTAAAATAGTCTATTTTAATTATAACTGTCACTGTGTCAGTTATAAGTGATTATAACGAATGCTTTTGGCTTCTGGTAATGTACATTTAATATTTTTTATGTAGAATAGAATAGAATTAGAATAGAATTCAACTTTATTGTCATTGCACGTGCACAGGTACAGGGCAACGAAATGCAGTTTGCATCCATCCAGAAGTGCTTTAGCCATGATATAGATATATTACAATATATATTAGCAATAATATAGATATGTAAGTATATTACAGAAATTGGTCTATTATGGTATGTTATAATGTAAACGGTATGAAGTATGTTATGAATATTCTATAACTATAAGTATGCGCAGGCTGTAGTGAGTACAAGCTATGTACAGGCTATGAACAGGATATAAATATGAAATTTAAAAAAAAAAACTATACAAACTGTACAAACAAATAGTAAAGAAAGTTGTTGAAACTACATTTAAGATACAATGAGAAATGTGCATAGGAAGCTGTCTTTGCCAAATTCAAAAAGGGATTAACTGACTTACTGATGTGTGTTGCATTTATCTCTAACCACCAATACGTGTCCTCATTTCACCCTCGTATTGAGTTTTCAGTTTAGTTGCATTTGTAGCCATTATGCTGATGAAAGTTGAAGTACGCCGGATCATTTGCAGTTTGAATGTTTCGAGATCTTCTGTTTAAAATGGGTAGACTGAGTAGCATGCTCCCGTTAAACAGTAAAAAACAAAGTGCATATTGCTGTTTTTGCCAAATAACCTCTGGCTAACATCTCTGGCTGAGGACCAGAACACACAAATACACATCCACACTCACTAACTCGCACTCCTCCTGTTCTTCTCTATCTCTCTCTCTCTCTCACACACACACAGAGCTATTATAATACTGTACAATGAGTAGCCTTCTAAAACATCAATAGCTCCCCCTGTGGCAACTGAAGCTGCTGCTGTTTGACTTTGAGCTAAAATGCAGTGCAGCTAAAACTGTAGTGTCACTACCGCTTAACTATATATATATATATATATATATATCAGGCTTAAAAACTAGATTTACATTATTAAGATTGATCCAATTATTGATTTTTAGCTTTAAATTTCAACTTACACTTTGTTGTTGTGGTGACTCTGACGGCATGGATTCATTCAGTGCTGATGATTACAGCTAAGATAACCGTACTTTCAAGTCTAGCTTTGTTTTTTTGGCTGACTATTATGAGGTTCTTTCCCCACATCTCCACTTATTAATTCAGTATTATTTTAAGACAGACAGCTATTTTGTCAAATGGATAAAAACTGCAGTGTGTTTTACGGCTACCTTCACATCAGACTGAATTTATTGGCCTAGCTATTGCTTCATTCTTTGTGATGACCTTTATCTGCCCCTCTTCCCTCACTGGACCCTCTGATTACTTCTGAGTGCTTTTATAATGCGAAGGTATATGCAACCATAATGTGTTAGTAGCTGTTTAAGCCCCAAACGAAGGTTATATCAGTACTAGGTGAAACGTTAAATGCAAAAATGAATGAAATTACAGCCAATGAAACTGCATACATTTCCTGTGGCGCATCTTCAATGTATAGGAGGTAAATAGATGACTGTGTGCAAGCAATGTGCGGAAAGATGAGCCGTGTGAATGTCTGCGTGTGTCGTTTCATTTGGAATTGGTTTCTGGGACGGTGAGACCGAGATGACCAAATATATATTGCGGTCATTTCCTTTTAAACAAATCATTTGTGTGTGTTAACATGTCCATTAACCCCGGCTGGAAAAATCATTAATTTTTCCTGAGTGAACACATTAGTCATCAAATCGCTTTGCCGCTGTCTCTTGGTCCCGCAGCTTCTTGGACACAGGCTCTGAGACGGAGACAGGGCTCTAAATCACTTAACTGGAACGGCGATGCCGCAGCAGACGCAGTCAAAACGAAACATCAGACACGTGAGCCCATACAGATATGCACACAGGGAAAAAACTGCACATAGAGGCATGGGCACAAATGCATATACGTCTGTACACACAACAACAGGGCTGCAACAATTCGTCGACATAATCGATGATATTGACTATAAAAATTAGTCGACGCAGAATTTTAGTGTCGATGTGTCATACACTATATGATGTAAAGGTGTTTTGGCAACTGCAATACACCACAGGAAGATATGGGGGCAGTATCGCCTACATCGTCTGCCACGACAGCAGGGGCATCACAGCCTAGCTAGCTCAGTCGGTAGAGCATCAGACTCTTAATCTCGGAGTTGTGAGTTCAAGCCCCACGTTGGGCACTATTCTCTCACAATTTCAGTGTATGTGTACATTAAAGGGATATTCTCATAGCGAGCGTTGTAAAAACAAATAAAATATAACTGCCAAAGTGACTTTTAAATAGCCTTTCTTTTTCCATTTAAAAACTCTCGTTGACAACAAAAGTGTGTTCTTTGTTGGTATGAAGGTAAAGACATTACACATAAAAACACACTAAACATTAGAAATCACACTCTGGAGCTGTGACATCAACTCTGAATGGGTCAGTTCGAGGGAGTTAAGTTCATTACGTGTTTACATTAATGTTTGTAGAGTAATGTTTATGTTAGCTTACATGTCAGAAACCGCGCAGCATGATGCTAGCTAAGCAAGAACCTTTCAGTTTTGTTAGCTAATGAGTGAAATGCAAAACATTAAACTGGAGAAGCTACACTGTCTCATAGTTTTTTTCTCCACACATAAATATTATAATAAACCTCTTCTACCTAATGTTACAGTTAATCTGTGGGTCGGCCCATATCAATAATTGATTATTTATGTAATCAGCTAAACAGTTTAATTGGCATTGAACACTACACCATCTGAGAAACTATTATATATAACCAAATTTGTGATTAGTAACCATCTTTTCTATTTCTTTTTTGTTTTGCTAGTAAAACTGGTAGTTTGAAATCTAGTAAAGCAGACTTCAAATGGTTAAAGTCGTGACAGAGAGCATCTTTAGCAGGGTTATCAGCAGCTGGGAACATCATCTCAGAGCGCGTCTACTGAAATCATGAAATCATGAATTCATGAACTCAATTATAGAATAGAATAGAATAATCCTTTAATTGTCCCACAAGGGGAAATTTGGTTGTAACAGCAGCCAAAAACACAAATATACAAACAAACGGTACACAGGACACGGAACAGAAACATACACAATAATTCTTACATATTTGCATTAAGGACAATGGTTACTATAAACAGAGAGTACTGTACAGTTATTAAATTAAATAAAAATAATTACAGGTAAGAGGCAAACCAGGTTGTAGTGCGAATTGGTTAATAAACTAACTTATTGCAGTTACAGCATTGATGTAATCATCTATGTTATTATTGTTATTATAATTATCTGTAAACTTTGGAAAGTTGTTATTTTGGACTGAAAAAAAAAAGATTTTGACTTTATTTGAAGCTGTATTTGAACTTGTTGTGTCCTATTTGCGCATTATTTTTTTGTTTAAATACTAGTAGCACTTAAATTTGTATTACTTTGTATTGTATTTATTTCATTTTTATTCAGATTTTTATTCGGACATTTGATTATTTACATATTAATACGTTTCCTGGGTAATTATTTTAATTCGCTGAAGGACAAGACAACAGGGTGATATTCACAGGTGGGCAGACTGGAGCAGGTGAGGTAGTGGAGCCTAAAACAGGAGGTTTGCCCACAGGAAGCGGAGATAGCTGTTATTGAAATAATCGTTGATTAATTAACGAAAAATTGGCAGATTATTCGACAACCAAAATAATCTTTAGTTGCAGCCCTAATACTAACACACACTCACATAGCTTGTCCTGTCGCCAGGCTTATCAAGACTTTTATTATGCCTCACAATACTGGGTAATTAGGTGTCCTCTGCTCTGCCTGTCTCTCTCACTAACGGTGGAGAAATAGACCTGTCACTGTTTGGGCACTCAAAGATTCAACAAATGCTAAGCAGTAATGGCTTGCTTTGTATCCTGTAATCCATTGCATTGACAGCAGGGACACTTAAAAAGAAGAGGCCCCCCACACACACACTTCTCCTCTTTCTCTCTTTCATTTGACTTCTATCTCTGGCACCTGGCTGAAACTTAAGAATTGCAGTTTCAGAACAGTGCATGATGAGCTTTGTCTTCATTTAGATGTTGGTGAACCACACTGTGATGATATTCAGTATGCCGAGACCACCTATAGCTGCACAACAGATACATGCCTAAGAAAATAAGACTTACTTGACACTTTTTTTTTGTTTAATTAGATAAAATTCAGTGCTTTTATCTAAACACCCACTAGCAGTCTTAGGTGGTGTCTACTGCGGGTCACTTAGTGAGAGAGGAGAATAAGGGGAGAGGCTGTGGAGGGCAGAGTGAACTGCATTACAGAGGAGAAAAGATGAGAGGCAACACCAAAGGAGAAATGTGGAAAGACAAGGACATAAAGTGGGAAAAATACTGTGTATGAGATGAGGATAGAGGAGGTTAAACCGAAGAGAGTTTGTGGTGTGTGGTTAATTCCTGTTTTACTGATCTGGCAGTTATACGGCAGCTGAGACCCGCATACTGCCAGAGTCATGCCTCCAGTCTCCTCCCCTTACCCCCAGTCTTCACTCAATCATTGTCTTGACCTGCTTACTCCAGTTCATGGGCTCTGGGGTAACTGGACTGGAGCCTATCCCAGCATAAGGCGGACCAGTCCTTCACATGGCCACCAAACAAGCTTTCGCACCAAAGCTGTTCTTGTAATGTGATTAAACTGCCTAAATAACTCTTCATGTAATATGTTCTCATTAACATTGGCAGCGGTCAAGGAGAGTGCATAGACATTGAGGGGTAAAATGTATGTGACTCAAACAGGAGAGAACGGAGGATTTGCAGTTAAGTAGCTGGGCTGTAAATGGACTGGCTGCCAATTGCATAAGGGAGCTCATTCCACAGGCAGCATACTGCATGATAGCGTAGGGTCATAGTGAGCTGTCATGGACCAATGATCTATTTCTCTACCTGTCAACCCCTCAGAGGGAATGAGACAAGAGAGAGTAGCCTTTCCCTCACCTCTCCCCCTCTCTTTCTGTCTCTCTCTTTTCCTGCATCTGCGAGCTCCACAGCGAATGTTGTGACAAGAGGCAAACTGCTGCCTTTAGCAAAGACGTGGTTGCACAAACAACCAACTCAAATTCAGTGAGACATGTTATTATTTTTAAGGTGTATTGTATTGTATAGTATAAATAAAATTGTATGTGATAGTTGGCGAAAACAAAACCCCAAATCTGCCAGCAGGTCTCCCAAATTAAATGACAAAATATGTCGTTTGTAGCTGTCATCAACAATGACAAGTATTATTTGTCCTGACCTTCAGCTGAACGGCATCATTTGTCAGTGTCTTCTAAAGCTGTTAATGAGTTCTCTGCATAAATGGCAAAATAACAAAACAAAAATAAATAGAAAGCTAATGTTTTGGGTTAGATTAAGTTCTTTGTTAGGTTTATCTAAAGTGTTTGTTTAGAGCCTCCGAACACTTGAGTTTTTAACATTTCTGCAGAGTCTGATATCTCTGTTTTTCCAAATCTACCCATCTTAGGTTGACATAACGATCACAATCCAAGGTCCCCTTACAAGGTTTTTCCTTGACCTTTTCACTCTTTGCACAGCCTTCATCAGCGCATAGTAATTTGATTACATATATATTTTCTGTGTAATTTCACAACATGCAACATGATAAATTGAATGACATCTGGAACCTCAACAATGAACTGTTCAAATAAAAAACCTTTGATTTTAAACATTTCATTTACTTTTTTTTTATTGTGATATATTGTAGAAATGCAAAATTTTGCCTAATTTTCAGTAAATAATATAATCGATGAAACCGCATGGTGCAGCTGAAAGCATAAAAGGAAGTTGGATCTTTATTTTTGATTTCTTTTAAAACAGTGGAAGCACAAATAAATGCTAATAAATCAAATGAGGCATTAAAGTGAAAGAAGCAGGCACAGAACTAAGTAGGCTTTAATAAAAATATTTTTTATAAATTCTAAAATGAGTAAATTAGGTAAACAGGTGTCTGGTCTTTTTCTCCTCAGACAGATCACTACACTACATTTTTACCTCTGCTTCAATGTGTTACTTACCTTTTGTTTTTCTCATGAAAATATTGCATGATGCATGTTCTTCAAAATGAATTGGACAGCACATCCTAATCAATAATCAAATATCCCAAAGAAATAATGTTTCTCACAGATACCAGGTTGAAAAGCAAATCCATTTGGAGTATTGCAGCTGTGCTCAGGATGATTCCGAGAGCCTCATTTATCAGCCTTTTGTAAGCAAAGTGGTGTATTTAATTAGCATGCATGAGCATTTTTTACACATAGAACGTGATTTATCAGTATTATCTTGTGCATTAGAGTGTGCATATATTTAGAAGCACTCCTGAGCAAGTGTATGCAGATGTCTCTCACAGAGAAGAGAATTCCAATGAGATGTACAAAACTCTCAGTCCAATCAGAGGCACTGCTGAAATCGTATCAGTACACAGGTGTTACAATTGAGAAATGGCTCAGGCTTAGGCAAATGAATGTCAGTCTAACGTGTCCAAATAGGAGATATTTAAACTTCTCCTTGTTTTGAGCTCTAATGCTCAGTTTCAGTGTTTGTAGCTTAAAATGGAGCTGCTGGTGCACCTACCCCTTTCAGGAAGAGGTCTGTGAGTGACAGAGAAAAGCAGCCAATGGAAGCAGTATGTGGGTCATTCAGTTAACAGCAAGGCACCAGATACAGATCGAGTAGCAATGTTACTTTTAGTCTTCTCTCGGAGCAATCGTCTCACGTTCAGGTATAGCTAAATATACAGGTGACAACAACAACAACAACAAAAGATTCACAT